AGCTGGTAAACTCCAGAACAGGAAAAAAAAAAAAGGGGGAAATTAGACAGTACGCTACCTTGTGACCAAACGTGCGCGCTGCAGTCTCTAGCACCACACTGATGTGAAAACACAGTCCTTCCACATCAACTTACCTCCTCTGCAGTACGCGGCGGTTAAGCCTTTTCTGAATTAATACCTCTGTATGCAAAATTTAACCTGCCCTTCTCAGTAACGGCTAAAAGGTTACCCGGCCACGGGAACAAAGGGCCAAAGCGGGTGTTTGTGGAACAGCAGTAGTTTCACGCTTTTTTCCCCCCTAGAACACAGGCAGTACTAACAAGTGTCTTTTGTATTTTCTGCGCGTTTATGGAAGGCATTTGATCGAAGAAAATACACGTGCACCTGGGAATGACCACAGAATAGCTATTCAGAGTATTTTAAGCTTGCAGACTAGTTCAAATCAGACTAACGAAACCCAGGGCCCTGGGGCGTGATGAAGGGGGTGCAGCCCCAGCAGCGCCCGCCAGGGAAGGAGAAGCGCAGCCTCACCTGAAGCGAGGCTGTGCCCACCACGGAGCGTGGCACGGACCAGAGGGGGGGGAGTGGTACGAGGCAGCATTTTGTCAGAGCGCAGCAGCACCCGGAGTGGGAGGGAATGGAGCAGCCAGGGTAACGGCTTCGTGACAGGCAGCGAGAAGTACAAGAGATAAACGGGACAACTGCCGAAGGCGTGCAGCTGATGGGACACTCCGTTACAGAGACGAAGCGCTGAAACTCTTGGGAGAGAGAAAGGGAACTGGGCCAGAAACTCACAATAACTATTTTTTATTACATTACAATAAATAGGAGCAGTACAGTTTGACAAAAAAATGACAAGTTCCAGATCACCTCACGGCACATACTCCTAAAAACATTAAAAATTTTAAAACAAACAGTGGTCTTTTTTTTTTTTTTAACTTAATGTCTGGTATGACCAACATTCCTAGGTCACGCAACCAAATGATGGAAAAACTGGATCACACTGCATATGTTCCACATCAAATAAAGCACAATGTACAAAATGTGCATGTTTCAGTTTACACTATACAAAAATAGTTAAAATACATTCCAGGTAAACATATTACATTAAGAAGTCATTCTAGTAAGAAGTTGGCACTCAAGAGGAAAAAGCAGAAGTATTTTCAACATGAAAACACAAGACAGTGGAATAAAGAAATGTTAGGAAAGATTTACCATCTATGTAGCTTTATGTAAACTTCAGACAAAATGATTTGTTTGCAGTTTGATGGTCTTTGAAGGTAATAATTGTATTGCTTCATAGTACAGACAAAAGCAGAAGATTGTGTGTCAGTATTTACCCATTACAGAGGTCCTGTTGCTGTAACTAAATCTATACAGGGAAACTTTTTTTTAAGTTAGAAAAAAAAAAACAAACTTAGGGCAAGGAGGCTGGTCAAAATAATTAACTTTCAGTTATGATAAAACCAATGATAAAGGTGTTCGCCAGAGTTACATAAAGCTACTGTAAGAAGGTGTTACTCCCTGACACATGGCAATTTAATGTATTAACGTGGTCAGTGACTCATGTTCGTTTAGCTGTTGCTATCGGAACAGGTAGCATCCAGGTATGTTCTTTGAAAGCATTTCAAATATTTTTTAATAATTGAGAGATCAACTCGTGCAAGCTGCAATCCAACATGCTTCACCAAATCTCAACAAATATTTAAGACAAAACTGCACAACAGTGGCAAGGATGTGGGGCTTTTTTTAATTAAACAAGGGCTAAACTAAATAGCTTTTGTACTAATTTAAAGAGTACAAAAAAGCTACAGATCACTGAAAAAGCCCAACTTTTATATAAAACTTTATTAGAACTATGTAAATCCACATTTGATGATTAAGACATTTCAGCTAAAATTTCTCCAAAGTTTTTAGTTAAATTAACCTAAGAATTTTAGACCAGCCCTAATTTTACATGCAGTGTGACTCAGTTAACCAAAACTCTCAAAGTAATCTTAAGATTACTTCCATTTCCTCAAGTTATACTATCCACTTTTGCTACATTCTTCATATATAATCAAGAGTGCCTAAAATGTGCAAATAACTGTCTCCAAAATGTTTTAACCTTGGAAGCTGTAAAGAGTTTTGCGACATTAAGAATCTGTTCTTGTTGGTCCTTACAATACAAACGTTAGCGTCTCTTATTACTGTTTTTCAGAATATTTCATAATCTAAATTTCACATCGAAGCTGACAGGAGGGGAGTGGAGTCTGGGGTTTGGTGGAGGGTGGGAAATGAGGGGCACAGGCAAGGAGGGAGATTATTTCCCTCAGCCACACTGAAATTAAAGAACACACAGCAATCCAGACAGTACACATCCCCTGCCAGCTTTGCAGCTCTCCACCTACAAGAGTCACTGTGGGTTTTTTTCGTAGACGCAAAAGACTGCTTTTCTCATGCAGCTGCACCTTGGACATCATCTAAACGGTCCGAGTTACACAGGTATATGAGAACTGTACTGTGTAAAATCTCCACCCCACTGTTTAGGTATACCTTAGGTTAGGGCAACGCTGCTATTCCCCGTTCCAAACTTTCTAGTGTCCTGAACTGTCCTACTTCAATGTCTTGTGGTTTATCCCTTAGGGTACACCAGAGTCACGTTTTCAGATTCTGCTCTGCAGCTGGGTTAGGTACTATGAAGAAGCGTACCTTCAGGAACCCAGGCCCTAACGAAACCATCACGCAGCGCAACATGTACAGGAACCGGCAACACTGGAATTGCTGGCTCTTACTTCAGTGCTCAATAACTTGACTACTGCAGTACCAAAAAATGGAAGCTTCTGTCAAAATTCTGCATTAGTTCCCATTAGAAAAAAGGCAGGGGGTGGTGTGGAAATTACGAGAGAACTTAATCACGGAGAAAGACAACATTAAAATCTTGGTCAAGCTTCGTGACAGTCTAGACACTGGAATGCCACTCACCAACCACTTAATCTGTGCGACAGAACTAGTACTTCACGAACATCACACGAACAACATTGACTCTGGAAACCATGTTCTATGCTGACAGTTTGTGCAAATTCCACACCATCTTTATGGCATAGTGGATTTCCAAATTATTTGCATGAAGCAGCTAAATTCAACTCATTCATTCACTCATTTGATGTTACTAGAACTTACAATTCCTCCCCTATTTTGCACAAAATGGGCAAGTGGAAATACTTAATGCCGCTCTTGCGGGGGAAAAAAAAGAATGGTTTCACTTCACTATATAATTCAGGATTCATTCCGATTTAATTCTTATGGTAAATTCTAGATCTGTGTATGCATTAACCTAAGAATTTGAATCAACTTATCTGTTAAGGCTTTCTAGTATTCCCTAGAGACACTGAGGGTGAAATCCTGCACCTACTGAACAAAGCTACTTAAAGATTTGCCACTGGGGATTAGGAAAGCTAGGCTTCCACCTTGGTCTTCAGACACAAAAAGTTAGTGAAAGTCTTAAAGCAATGCATTAACAACAGCAAATCAACCTAATTAGAACTTTTACTTTTTCCATTGCCAGATGTGCATTGTTGTCTTTTTTTAATTTTTCTTTTTTTATAGAAAAAATAGAGTATTTAAGGAGTGACCATGACAAATTGCGGTGAAAAATTTTTTTGTGAAAGTTTTCTCTTTACATTCATCAAAATTGATCTGAAATGCTACAAGACTAGATGCCTAGAAGCAAAATCTACAGGAAGACTATAAAGGCTTCTGGTCTCTCTATATTGCAGTCAGTCTAAAATAAAAGAAAGGCTGAAATGAAAGTCTCTTTTTCTAACTAGTCCTTTTTCCCAACGAGATTTAAAACCCAAAAAATTAAAGGGGATGTTAGAACGTGTAGAGCATCATTTCATAGTTTGGTTCACACACAGAACAGAAGTTCACAATCAGTAAGAAAAACAGAAAGTTAGCAACCGTACATGCACCAAAGAGTCCTAAAACAGTTCTCAGGTTTTTGTGTGTGGTTTTTTGTTTGGGTTTTTCTTTTTGTGGGTTTTTTTTTGTTTTTTTTTCAGTGTTTTTTTGTTGTTGTTTTCACAGGCATCGCTAGTTCAAGAACCAACAGTCAAAGAATACTGGCACTTTAAGAGGAATGAAGTTTCCACTGTCATTTAAAACAAGCATTCAGGTAAAGCTAACAGGATCATGAAGCAGAAAGTAAAGTAATGCTAAAACAAATGCTAATAATTTAGTGTAATGTACAAAAATTACTTAAGTACTTCTTAAGAATAAGGATAAATTGTATTTACATAATTATACACTTTGTCTTTGTCTTCTTTTTCTTCTTTTTACCATCTTTGCTCATCTTCTCTTTGTGTTTTCTGATTTCTCGAACTAATGTATAGAAGGCATCATCAACACCCTGAAAAGATACAATGGCACACATTAAGATCACATTAACAGAGTTACATCCCAGCCTAGGGGCAGCCTGTTTTCACCTGACCTGTTCAGGTCAGGTGTGTTCAGTCTGGTTTGCTGCCTGCCAGGAGAGGTTACGCTGCCTTCTCCTTTCTGAGGCTTCCATAAGGTCCCCTTGAGCAGGCTGCGGGTTGGAGGAACCACTGGGGCAAGTCCTCCCAAGCATTCCTGTTCCTTGGGACGGGGCGTGCTGGGAAACACACACCCAGGTGGACGGGGAGCTACAGTTGCCTCCTGTCACGCAAGAGGAACGCATCCAACTGGATTTCTGCGCATGGGCAGGGGGGCCTGCGGGAGAGCAGCTCTGGGGAGTGGGCTGCCGCAACGAATCCTGGCTACAGGCTGTGCCACCCCTGGGTACTGAGGAGCACTGAAACAACCACCTGCATGAACTGTTTCGATGCCAGCAACAGCCAGCCTGCCCTCTTCCGCAGCTGCTGCCCAAACTGGGCTTACAGCGGCCTGCCGGTGACTTACTGCTCAGGGGTTGACCACTGATAGCCCATAGGTCCAACTCTGTTATTAATGTGGTAAGGAAAGTAACTTAGTGTACTGCCCTCCTTCCCATCTTGAGGGCACACGTTGTCTCACCTCAAACTAGAAAAGCAGAGGTACCGCATGTTTAGAAGTATGTATATTATTACCACAGAATAAAGTTAGCTTTGGTTTTGCCTTAATAACCTATATGCACTTTTAAAAAGTAAATACAAATATTGGTAGCAAGAATTCAATACCAAAGACAGTTAGGATTAATCTACATATTCAGATCATTTCTCAGGCACACCAATACAGTAATCACACCATAGTTTTATAAATCTTTACATATGCAAATCAATCAAATCAATCCCAAGTTCCAATGATAAATTATTATTTGATAAATCATTTTACTCACCTTACATACTTAAAGACACTTGGAACACACTAACTATGCTGCTCTAACATGTACAGTCCCTTAAAATCTCCCCTGCTCCAACAGCTGAGCTACAGACATAAAAGCTAATGTTTCTTCACACTGAGTTTTCCATTTTTTTGGAGGGGGGTAATTATAGCCAACAAAAATTAACTCTGGCCAAGAGACTAGCATATCCTAAAGCCTGACAAGAACCACTATCAAGTCTAATGCTATTGCTTACCTTTCAGGTTGCTCCAAATTCCAATCAAGTACCCATGTTGTCAGTCAGCCTTTACAATTAATAGTTTGAGTACTGACAGTCATAAAATCATTAAGATAAAAATTGACCTTGATTCTTCACCGCCTTACTTCTTATATTATCTTTTAGATAGATCAGAAATAGTTGTATAATGTTAATGTATCACAGCAGCCAACTGCACCACTGCAGAACTGGGTCTAGAAATTTAGCCCTACAACTGGCAGGCAGCTTCCTACCTTGTCAGCTACAGAGTTTGCCTTCAAGCTGCCAACAGAAGTTAACAGTCTGTTTATTTCTGTAGGCCTACTTCAGTAAAAGAACTGAAAGTTAACTCAAAAAAGCACAACAAAAGAGCCAAAAATCACCTAATTCATTACCGTTTCAGTCAGACACCAAATGGTGATGAAACCTAGTACGGTAAGTCCAAACCACAGTGAGGTGTCAAACAGCTTCACTTTCAAAGCAATGCTTCCCCTATAGCCTAAACTTATTTAGAATTTCAAGTTCATAAAACATTTACAAGTAACTGATGTTAGATGAAAGTCTTTGGCAGCCTGTCTCCCAATACTAACAGCACACTTCCGCAAGGTCTTGTAATATAAAAAATACAAGTAACTTACTCTACATTTTAAAATATTATTTATTGATCAATATAAAAGTGGCGTAGCACACCTAATAGAAGAGTAGCCTAGTTCTTGAAAAGGTCACGTCCCCATGAATCTTTTGAGAATTAGAAATGCTTGGTATTATTTCACAGAGACCTACTGTATTTTGCTTATAATTTCAGCATTAATGCACAAAGTGAGTATTTTTTTTTGTAGGGAAACGATCTAGAAGTAGTGTGGGTTCAAAGCGTATCTACTGCAGTTCTCATCTCAGCCAGCTAGGAGGACAGCATTAAGAATCAATCACAACAGACAGAAGTATAGTTTCCATTCTCGGAACACAACAACAGTGTAAGAAAAATCCCTGCACAATATTCTTGTACAAGACTGTTCACATTTCCTTACAAAACTACCTTTCACTATTTCTCACTCATCATTACTGTGTTGGAAAAATACTCATTACAAGGACAGTCACTGGCTTTCAGTGGTGTCTCCAAAAGAGACACTAAACAAAAACTGCAATTTAAGTCTTCAAATGAACAACCCTCCCTCATTAAACTGGATTTAAAATAACTTCAGAGAAAATAAGTCATACAAAGTAATATCCAGAGATTATTATTGGTCTTTGAACACACAGCTTCACAACTAAGGCTGAAATATTTATTCTACCTGGTAAAGTGATCATCTTTTAAATAGAGCACTTGTTGCTAAGTACTAGGGAATTGACTTGGCTTTTGTCCCTGCATTTACACCTTTGTAGATCAAGCCTTTAAAATTATTAATTATGTATTTAATAGTTTGGTCCAGCCACAATTCCTCTCAAATTCAGGTAATGAAAGAACACGCTATACAAAACTACGAGTGGAGTATTTGTGAATTAGAACTGGAGAACCCAAGATAAATGGCGGTCTTTCACTTTTCAGTCTGTGGATTAAATTCTACATATAAGTAGTGGATACTCTGTTTACAGGAGGTCCCTAAAGGCATCAACACTGTAAGATCAAAGGCAGTCAACCCTTCCAGTTACTTCCTTCAGTAAGAAGGGACTGCATGCGGCCGACCTTCCTCCCTCTAACAACGGAGTTATTGTGTGTGAGGTTTTTGGAAAGCGTAAGACTTTCTGAATGAGTGCTCTAAATCCAGGCTCGGGATCAGAAACTCCAAATTCACTGTGCATGCTCAGAAGTATACCACGCTGCCTCAGTAAAGGTGCATTGAAGGAGCTTGCTCCTGGCACTGGTTTTTCCAAGGGCAACTACGAAAGGCAAAGGGACCAGAAAAATCAGAACTGTTCCCACAGAAACAGCCTGCTCCCGGCTACAAGCTTTCTTCGGAGCATCACATGGTCCCATGACCATACAGAAGTCTGGATGTGTGGCTGCAAGCATACACAGGACTCTGCAACCTGGCTATCAATAAGAAACCCTAAATTCATAGGGAATCAGGAATTAATACCCCAGCCCCAAAAATAGACCCTTAAGTTTTAAATTGTAGAAAAGTATTTTCTGTATTTTTCTTAATAGATAATACACATATACATGCACACATCTTATCAGTCACAAGGAAGGGAAATGGTCCTACTACTCTGTAGTACTATAGAAAGATTATAAAATTACAGTTTTAATCAAGAATCTAGAAATTTTTTAATTCAAATTTAGAACTTTCATAATTCAAACTTTTTACTATTAACTCATCTCAGTCTGAATTATATTATCTAGATGTATGATTTGTGCCCTAGAGAAACTTTTTGTCACAGTTTGCTTTTTATCTAAAAACTTTAATGCTTTCAAGGAAGAGATCTTTTGAGGATTTTATATTTGAGTTTTAGAAATTTCTTCTTGCTAGTTAAAAATTACAAACACAGCAAAAGATGTTATGTACTTTCTGCTTTATTGTGTAATAGCCAAAGGAAAGAACCTCTTGGAAAGCATCAGCAGCTAATGGTAATCTGGGTAGGCAGGGTTTTCAGTTACCTTGTGCAAGATTAATACAGAAGGCATCCCCTAAGCAGCAAGAAGACAAACTGAATATTCCAAGAGGTAGCAAAACACTCTGAACCATCAAATTTGATTATCCACAGACAAAAAAGGAAAATAAATACCGTCTATCGTTGCAAAGTGTGTAATAATGAATATTTTAAGTCTAAAATTCAAGCTGAAAGACTCGCGTGATGGGGTGCTGCTTAGCTATCTACTACGCATCAGACTGAAATAAGTATTACTTTCCACTCAGTAAGATGATACAAGTTGGACTGTTTTAAATGCCAGATTTCTTATTCCTCTAGAATCACTACTGAACTACACCTGTACCACAATAATTTTGGAATAAGCTTTCTCCAGCTTAACCTCCTAAATACAAAGTTGCTGAAATGACTATCAATACTATGTAGAATTCACTTGAGTATAAAGACAAATGTTTCCTCTGAGCAGACTCTTGAAGTTCTAGACTCTTATATCCAAGACTATTTTCTAAACAGGGTACAGGGAAAAGACAAGCAAGCAAACAAAAACCCCCAACAATATCCATTGCTGACGGAAGTTATTTCCCCCATCTAGGGGGAAAATAAAAAAAAAAAAACAACTCTCACAAAACCCCAAAAACATACTTCTCTGACACAGGCAGAAAAAGAAAGCAGGAGGCTGGCAGAAAGAAAGCAGATGTTCACTGAGCTATCAAAAAGAATCTTAAGATCTGAAAAGATGCTTCCACTGAAAAAATAATGAAAACCACAATTTCTACCATCCTGTTCTCTTCCCAAGGAAGCCCACAGAAAGGAAAAGCAGACAGAATTCAGGATCTTTAAAGTCCCAGTATACAAAAAGAAATTCCACTCTGAGGTATGGCTACGTTAGTAAGACAACAAGAAAAAGCAAAGTTGGTTTCCAGAAGGCTAAAGGAAGCGGGCTTAAGCAAGTTAATTCATATTGCTCTCATCAAAAGTAATCTTGCCAAGCGGCTCTTAGGTGTTTTTTTGCTAACTAGGAAAGAACAAAACAAGGTATTTTGATGGCATCAATTTTATTGATATTTGGATGCAAGACTGGGGAGCTTTGTAACCGAAGTTTCCCACTTCCTGCAAAAGGAAACTGTTGATACAAATAGTATCACAAAGTGTATCTTTTTTAAGGAAACATCTAAAGAATTCTCTTAGAGCAGTCACTCATCACTTAAAAGCTGAGAATATAATA